TGTGTCATTATCCAACTTTTTATTATGCTTAGCAATGATGCAGAAGACAATAAAATCAAATATACTATTGTACTTCCTGTTAAAAAAGTGTTATGACTTGAAAGCTTGACTAAGAGCAACAGATTTCTATACACTTTATACAAAACATGCTTTTAAAAAAGTGTACTTTTTATAATTGGAGTAACATTAAAACATTGTCATGTATTTATAAATGAAATAAGACAATATTATATGATTAATTACACATTGCTAGTCATTCAAGTAGCAACTCTTGGCATATATGTAAAAATGTCTAATGTTCCATTTGTTTTTATAAAATAACAACAAAAAGACCACAGTTATATTTATGCTTGCTGTGACTTGGGACTGAAGTCTTAATGGGCTTCTGTTATGATGGCTATAGATTGCCTTGTGGTTCATTGGTAACCTGACCTTATGGAATCTGCATACCTCAGACTGAAATAACTATAATGCTCATGTATTTACTCTCAGAATATATGTTTTGCAGTTTCATGTGTCAGAGAAAGTGGATTTACATGTTACCTAGTTTTCATTTAACCCTCATAAAATGGCTGAATGGCTTAAGAACATAGTTGTTGAAAGACACTAAATATATTAAAGAAATAAACAGTTGTTCTGTTCCTTCAAAAAGAATTGCTGTTATAGCAATTAATGATGAAGCAACTGCATTGGAAAGAAAATCCTAAAGAAGTCTATTTTGAAACATTTGGTAGTGTAAACATTACTACATGCCTTGGTAACCGGAAACTATGTATATGAGTATATTATTATAAATCTCTTGGCCTAGGGAGTTAGATCACTAAATAAAGTGCTTACTGCATGAGCACGAGAACTTGAGTTTGGATCCCCAGTGTCCATGTAAAAGGCTGAGCATAACCATGTGTGCCTGTGATCCCTGAACAGGAGTGGAGATCATAAGGGTCTAGAGACTTTATAGGATAGCAGGTCTAGCCAAATTGGCAAGCTCCATGTTTGGTGAGTATCTTAGTTAAGATTATCATTCCTATATTGAAACACCATGACCAAAAAGCGAGATGGAGAGGAAAGGGTTTATTTGGCTTACATTTCCATATCACTGTTCATTATCGAAGGATGTCAAGATAGGAACTCAAACAGGGCAGAAATTTTGAGGCAGGAGGAGATACAGAAGCCATGGAGGACCAATGCTTATGAGCTTGCTCAGCTTACTGTTTTGTAGAACTCAGGACCACTAGCCCATGGATGGCACCATCCATAATGGGCTGGGCTCTCCTGAATAATCACCAATCAAGAAAATATCCTACAGTCTTGTCTACAGCTGGATCTTATGGAAGCATTTTCTCAACTGAGGCTCCCTTCTCTCTGATGACTCTAGCGAGAGAGAGAGAGAGAGAGAGAGAGAGAGAGAGAGAGAGAGAGAGAGTTGTGCCACAAAACTTCTTACATCTCCACACTTAGTAACCTGAAATGAGAAATCGTACATTTAAAACTTGTATAGAAAGTTACAGAGATTGTGGAATAAAATGATAAAAGTATAAAGATGCATCAACTTCTGATTCATCCATAAAAATACTTAAAGGTGCTAGAGAGATGGGTCAGTGGTTAAGAGCACTGGCTGCTCTTTCAGAGAACCTGTGTTCAATTCCCAGCACCAACATGGCAGCTCATAACTATTTGAAACTCCAGTTCCAAGAACCCAACACTCTCACACAGACATATACACAGGCAAAGCAACAATGCACAGAAAAATAAAATAAATAAATCATTAAAAAACACTAAAAAATATAGATGAATGGTAAATTCATTCATTACCCAGACACCCCAGAAAGGAGAGAGAGAGAGAAATAAAGCTGACTAGCATAGGGAAAATAGGTAATATCCTAGCCTAAATTCAGCAACATATTTGATTATAGGGGCTGAAAAGAATGATACACTTTTACTTGGTTCTACAAGTCTTTTTCTGATACAATAAATACGAAAACCATTAAAAATAACTTAGAAATAAATTTTCAAATCACTGTTTTATAATATGCTAAAACATAGTAAATTAATGACCCATACTGATGATTCTCCATATAGAATTGCACAGAAAAATAGAATGGGGAAGTCTATAACTATAGAATATAGATAAGTGGTTTTTAGGAAAAAGGGAGGAGGGAGCTATCAGATACTCCTAACAGCTATGTTGTTTATTTAGGGAACGATATAATGATCTTGTAGTCTTGCTGGCGACCATGAAGTTATTCTAAAGAGACATACTTTAGAATTTGCCCAGGAGTTGGGAGAAGGAAAAGACTGGGGCACTGATATAAGCCAGAGAGAAAACTCTTCCTGAGAAAGTGAGCTCTCCCAGGAAGAGATTTCATACAGTTCTAACAACTTATGTAACACCACCTTACAAGAACAAGGAGCTGAGAGATTGATGGTCACTATGAGCAAAACCACACCCTGACAGATTGCTTGGATTAACTGTGGCTTCTCTGTTTGAACCCAAATTTCATGTCACGACCCTGAAGATGGACTCTGGGAGGTCAATGGACTTCTCTGTTCCTTCTCCAGTGTAGTGTATCTTTCTTCTCTTCTTTTCACTTATTACCTGCTTTTTTACTTGGCCCACTGAGGATGGGTGGCTGAGCCTGTTATTAGGGATATGAGAGTCCAAGCTTTGGTCCTAACAATCTCAGAATTACTCTGAAATTATGGAGTACTGAAACTTAGTCAACACAGTGAATATAATAAAAGCTACTAAACATTTATCCTTAAATGACAAATTTTATGTCATATGACAGCTACCTCAGTAGAAAACTTACAAAAGTTAAAAGACCCATATTTAGTATTGAACAATACTTTGTAGTATATTTTAAGCAAACATTATCAGATTCATTCTTTACAAGAAGTCTAAATGTCTGTACTTTGTGAACTATCCATAATATCTTAGTATAGTATGCACAATAAAAGATTCACAGACACATATTAGAAGTTTATTCTCAAAAAAATTTTGGTGATCATACATGTCTAGACACAGTGGTATGATAATAGATGCTTGTGCATAAGTAGCACACTACGTACTTCTGATGACCTTTCATGGGGTAGCAGGTACAGCCACACCCCTTCCTCCACTGAGAACCTTTTAAAATTCATACTTTTTAAGATTTCAACCTTTGAAATGGACATAAGATACTGTATCACAATATTATTGACATCCTGATAATATATGTCCATAGTGTGATAAAATAGTGCTTTTGAATACTACAGCTTGCATAGAAATTTTCAGATCAAGAGACCAAGTAGAAAAAATTCTTATTAAATATAATGTATGAAAGGTATTTGGAAGCAGAGGGATTGCATTTCTCTTGGAGTTCTGGCTGTGAGTTACTTTCTGCAGTGAAGATTGGAAGGAGGTGAAAACCATGGTAGCAGAGAACTTTTTTTTTTTTTTTTTTTTTTTTTTTGGTTTTTCAAGACAGGGTTTCTCTCTATTTTGCTTTGGAGGCTGTCCTGGCACTCACTCTGTAGACCAGGCTGGCCTCAAACTCACAGAGATCCATTGACCTCTGCCTCCCAAGTGATGGGATTAAAGGTGTGCACCATTAAGGCAGAGAACTTCTTTAGAGGTAAAGCTTTAGATTTGCTCCTGGGTGTGTCATTCTCAATCACGTGCCTGCATTCTGTAGAACCATTTTCTTGTGTATTGACTTTTGTTGTTGCTGTTGTTTTCTTTTTTCCCAAGCAGAAACAGCAGCCTCTCGTTTTTTTTCTGGGCCAACCAATGGCAAGTTAAAAGCTAGATCACCATTTTGCCCTTTCCGTGTTTCCAATGATCGAGTAACTTAGAACCTTCAATTAAATACACTTTGAAATGCCTATTTTCCTGACCATACCTTCTTTGATGTACTTGTCATTTGTCACCTTGTCACATAGTTTCTATTCTATGTCTAATGTTATATTTGAGAGAGAGAGAGAGAGAGGAAGAGAGAGAGAGAGAGAGAGAGAGAGAGAGAGAGAGAGAGAGAAAAGGGGGAATATTGAGTTAGCTAGACTAGAGATAAAGGGCATGCTATTCCACTTTGCTAACTTGTATAAGAATTATGACACCAGCTATTAATCAAGGGTGACAACAAGTAGGAGATTTTACTAATTTATATACACCTTAGACTTTTGCATTCTACACAGGCTGCCATCCTTAAATCTCTTTCAGGTCATGGCCCCAGGTTACACTGTGAACAGGCAGGAGACCACAAGTCTAACCGTTTAGGCAGATGGAAGTTTTATACAGCAAAGATGTTGCCACTATTATTTCTTAAGTACACCAGTGTACTTCTCTTCCAATAGTTGCCGCCCTGGTTTGTCTTGCCCACCTGACAAAATTATGCTTTTCCTGATAAAAGTACAAGAGAATGTCTAGAAGACAAGGACTTAATGTTGTGTGTGATGGACACTGAATTACCTCCCTGAGCTGCACTGTAAAGGCATATTCTTTGATTTGGGGGATGGGCCTAATGGTTGGTTGTTAATCAGAGCTGTCTCCTGTTACAGGAATGGAGCCTTAACTGGAGGTCGGTCAATCTGGGTAAACAACCATTAGCAGAAACTTTCTCCACAAGCTTAAACTTCAGTTATGATGCGAAGTTTTCATTCCTACAGCTTCCACAAGCTTGGTTATTATACTATCTTACAAGCATATTGGAGGAATTGTTCCTTTAGCTAAATTCAACTTTGTGTAACTTAATATTCCTAAGCAAGTTTATAAGCAAATCCATTATAGCATTAATTTTATTACTTCAAGTTTCTTCATCCGAATTTTAAAATGAAACCAAGGTATAAAGTGTTCAAAACTACTGTAAGTACTGTTTACCACAAGTGTTCAGAACAGAATAAAACACTAATAGCATACCACTGATACATTTTTAAAGAAGTTCAAGGCACTGATGACTTATTGGAGCTTTGAAAAACATGATTTGATGTTTCTTCATTAAAACAATATTTAAAGATTTTCCTACCTTTGTGATAAGAATTCGGTATCTATCCAGCATTGCCTGGTTGTCATGGCATCCTGCTAATAGCTGCCATACTTCTGCTCTTAATGCCTCAGGAACACCACTCTTTACCAAAGTGGATAGCCCTTTTGGTCGGGCACCAAGGTTATTGTGCCTGAGGAGAAAAGAAAATAAACCATTCACAATCCATGCCCAGAACCACTGCTGTTATAGAAAGAATATGTATTAGTTTATGTAAAAATATAAGGCTGGTCAAAAGAAAATTGACTGGAACACTAAACAAAAGAAGTACTTAAACCTCAGTGATATCTTTAACCACTTTTTTTTCTTTATTTCACCCTATATTTTGATGATATATATATTCCACTTTAGACAAAGGGCTTTTTTACCCTGTTATTTATATTTTTAATTTTTCTATGATGATTATGTAGTAATATATGTATTAGTTTTTTGTTTATATCCAAATAGTGAAACATAAAAAATAACCACTTAAATCCCCTGAGACAGCTGTACAACCACTTGACTGTGTTGCCAAAGAATGAGTTGAGATGCTGAAAGTGAATCATAAGCCTGTCAAACTTGACAGTACCCACTTCTTTATAGTCAGACTGAGCTGGGCCAAATGCAAAAAGCAGGTCCTACATTATAGGAAAGAAATATGCAAACTTTAGTTTCTTACAGTCCCTACATCTTGACCCAAGGATTGCCTGGGAAGCGGCATGTCTTGTATGCTTAATTTGGAACACTCCGTTTCAGTTTAAACTTAAGTACAAAGGACCATCTAGATTTAAAATACCCAAGGTGACCCTTATACCAAGAGGAATTCCTCATTGCTGTCAGTTCTAAATTTGTCTTGATGGCCTATTTGAACTACAAGCATTCCCTAAAATGAGGTCTTTACTCTTTCCTACAAACAACAAAACTTACACAACTACATCTTGCTAGAGGGACAGCTTATGCCTATCAGTCTTATCCTTTTCTCAAGGGCTGTTAAGAATCAGAGCAAAAGCAAGTATCTGTTGTCTAAAGCCAATGATCACATATTAGCTATGCAATAATGATCAACAGACATCTGATCAAGATATTAAATTATAGTTTGAACGCAAGATCATTCTTCACCTGTTTCCTGACTTAAGAGCTGTAGTCTCGGCCTTTTCTGCTCAGATACCTCACATTCCTTGCTCACTATGTCATAGAGCTGACCCTGAGGCAACCACCCAATTCCAGAACTTGATAATGTATCCCAATTTGAACTAACATACCAGGCTATAATTTCAAGTTTTAAAACTGAAAAGTCATGGAATCCATATGTCTATTTTACATAATTGGTATCCCACATACTTCTCCAAATTATGCACACTCTTCTATCGCCAGCCTAGACCCAAATTTTGGCATCTTCTTCTGAAAATGTGTTCAAAAGTTTTTTCCCCCCTACATATTGTCATAATCTACATATCTTTGGAGAAAATCTTAATGTTCCAAACTTAGATAATAAGTTAAAGCAAACTTATCACATCAATTTTGTGTAAATCCTCACATTTATGACCATTCTGCTTTCATTCAGCTAAACTTTTGTGGGGAGAGGATTGGGAGAATTAGGGAATGGAAACTGGTAAAACTGATGGGCTCAAATCAAAATGAAGTTGAAAGACTTAGAGCATAAAAGAATCAACATTATTAAAGAAGATTATTATGCTGTCAAGGGACAGGATTCAAAATAGTTATATAGGTATTATTTTAGATACATACTATTTTTAAAAGATTTTATTTATTTATTATGTATACAACATTCTGCTTCCATGTATATCTGCACACCAGAAGAGGGCACCAGATCTCATAATGGATGGTTGTGAGCCACCATGTGGTTGTGGGAATTGAACTCAGGACCTCTGGAAGAGCAGTCAGTGCTCTTAACCTCTGAGCCATCTCTCTGGCCCCGACAGATACTATTTTAACCTGCTTTTAAACATACATATGATAAAATTTGGAATAACATATATAGTGCATATGTTTATGTATGTAATAAGATTAAGAAAGTCCTTTAATTTAATTTTTATATTCCTTTTTAATTACAATGATGCTAAATTCTTTTATAAATACTAATTACATAAATAATTATATTAGTATAAATATATTTATATTTGCATACATGTTATTTTATAATTATAAAATATATTATTAACATTTGATTGTAATTCTTTAAAGTACCTTTATATGTTTAAATAAGATTTTTTAATTAACTGTGGCAAACATGTTTAATGCATTCCATAAAATATGACACATAGAAAAGTACTAATTATGCTTGAGAAGAAGTGAATAAACTATCTGATGCCTGGAATTTCCTAGAAGATCTCTTTTTCATTATCCAGCTGAGTCTGAGACTACTTAAAAACATAAGAGAACTAGGATCATTTATAAAATCATGCTTCTTATAATTCAATGTATGATTCTGATTATACTTTTGGATCCGAAAAGCATTTAGTTTGAAGGTAGTTGAATTTACGGATTCTGTAGGTAAAAAAAAAACTAAGCTAATTAAAAGCGACAGTGTGAGTACAAAAAAGTCTAACTACATTTTCTTGAAGTTGAAGGAAATACTGTAAATTATGAATCACATAGTGTATAAAGTTACAGAAGAGGAATTCGAAGTAATTAAATATATTATATGCTATAAGTAAACCATTATCTATTACAATTTGAAAAGATACCTACAAGTAAAAGTACGCTTGTCTGGGTTCTTCAGAAGGCACTATAACATCTCTGTGCCCACATGTGGCTTTTCAGAAGTCCTCTATAATCATATGTACTTCTTTCCCACATTCATTTTCCAATTCAGTATAGCAGGACCTCTCTGTCCCTTCCTGAAGGGTTTTCACTCAAGTAATCCACAACATGTCCTTGTGTCACTAAGTTCAATGGGTATTTTCAATCCTCTCGGGGTTGACCACTCATTTACTTGACCTTTCACTGCTTCCATAGGGATCAAGCATAAAACCTCCCCTCTTATCCACACTCCACAAACTCCACCAATGATTGCTTCTCCACTCTTAACACCAGTAATCTAATTCTGTTACTGTCTTGTTTGTTCAGTATGTCTCTGGAGTACCTATGGCTCAACCACACCCTGAAATCAGTCATGCCCCAGTCTGAACTCAGTCTTCCTTCAAAAATCTCATTGTTATCCAAGATTACATCAACTTCAGTGATTATGCAATAATCTATCCACACTAAAAATCTAGATGTTATTGTTGATCTCACTTTCCATCCCACAGATCATACCTAGCCCATTGTCACACCCAAAAGATCTTTTTTTTTTTTTTCTTTTTGGAAGAACTCACATGGGAAGTTTATTGGGGAAGGGATTAGGGGAAGGGAAGGAAGAGAAGGGAGAGAAAAAAGAGAGGGGAGGGAGGGAAAGAGAGAGGGGAGAAAAAAGAGACAGAGAATATTGATTCTTTCATTCCATGAGTTCTTCCATTGTTGTTTTCCAGTGTTTCAAATCACAGAGACAGTGGTTTGCTAGATTTCTACCTAAGTGTTTCATGGCTTTTTTATTTTATATGTCTTGTGTCTTCCATCTCTGACTTTTCATTGCTACTATATTCAAGTAGAATTAGCCTTAACATATTGACTTTGCATTCTGTAAGATGGTAAAATGAGGGCAAGAGTGGTGGCACACGGGGTTAATCCCAGCACTCAGAAAGCAGAGAGAGTCAGACATCTTTGAGTTCTAGGCTAGCCTTATCTACATGGCAAGTTCCAGACTAGCCAAAGCTATATGGTGAGACTCTGTCTCAAAAAAGGTTAGGTTTTGTTTATCTACTTATTTTATATAAATCTTTTATTTTGCTTATGAATGAAAATTATATTTCTGAAAATTAGATACCATTTTGTATCTTCCTTCCAAATCTTATTTGCCTTTCCCTTTTAAAAAATTATATGAAAAAAAGATGAGAGTAACCAACCAATAACTGATTTGACTTAAGGCCCATTCCACGAGATGGAGCCCATACCTGACAATGCTTGAATGACCAAGACTCTAAAGCTAGCCCAGGGACCAAGGGTAAAATTAAATAATATTGGTCTAAAAAATAAATAGATAAATAAGGAAGGAAGACATATAGTGATAAAATCATTCCTAATGACATACTCATAGATCAGTGCCTTGCTCAGCCATCACCAGAAAAGCTTCCTCCTGCAGCAGATGGAAACAAATATAGAGACCCACAACTGGACATTACACAGAGTGAGAGACCTTAGAACACCCAAGCTTAAGTGGGATGTCTCCATCAAATCCTTTCCCTAGGAGATAAGGAAACCCCATGAAAGAAGAAGAGGAAAGAATGTAAGAGTCAGAGGGGATGAAGGATACCATGAAACAAGGCCTTCTAAATAACATAGGCAAAATTCATATGACTTCACAGACTGAAGCTGCATGCACAGGGCCAGCATGGGTTTCTGTGCTTATCTTATGGTTTCTAGCTTACTTTTTTTATAGGATTCCTGAGTCTGCAAATAATTGGGTCTCTGATGCTTGTAACTTCTCTTGGTCTCCTTTCTGTCTGTTGGTATGTCTTCTTGTCCAACTTCAATGTGATAGTTTTTACCTTATTATATTGTATTTTGTTATTTTTTTAATGAATTAATGAATAAAAACTTAGCAACTAGGGTAAAGGTTAACAACTGAACTATCATTTATACACTGGGTATGTCAACCACTCCAGGACAGGCCTTATATTCAGGAGTAGTTGACCAACATATAAAGGACTCCAGAGTTTTTATGTGTGCTTTTATTTGGTGATAGTTTGGTGTTGTATTTTCCTTTGGGGGTGGTGCTTGCTTTCTTGGGTTTGGGGACCTATTTTGTATTAGGTTCGGATTGTTTTTTGAAAAAGAACTTAAAGTTAGGTGGGTAGGGAAAGATAGAGGATCTGGAAGGACTTGGGGGAGAGAAAGAATATGATTAAAATATATTTAAAGTTAAAAATTGTTTCAAATAATCAAAAGTATAATTAAAAATATCCCCAATATTAAACCAAGTAAATGAGAATGCTCAAAGTAGATATGCCTATGCTGTCACAGACTTAGGATTTTGTTCTTAAAGCTAACAGCTGCAGGCAGCTTATAGGTACCTACAAAAGTTATGAAAGCTCCCTGGATTCCTAGTTTGCTGAGATTTATATCATGAGTGATAAGCTTTTTAAAGGTTTTTAAATGCATATATTAAGATAATTACATTATTTTTCTTCTGGTGATGATATGGCAACTTCATAATTTATTTTCATATGCTGACCCGCACATGATGTCCCAGAATAAACCCCATTGTTATGCTTTTTTTTATTTTCCTTTATAAATAACTGAATTTGACATGTTCTTACTATTGTTGGGGATTTCCGAGCATATGTTCATAAAGCATACTTGGCTGTAGTTTTGTCATATTTTAAATTGGTATTGTGATTGGTGTATGTTAGTGTCATAAAATTAATTCAAAATAATTACCTTCTATATTCTGAGAAAGTCTGTATAAAATTTAACAGTTCACCTTTTATAAATATTTGGTTAATTTTCTAATTAGATTTCAAGCTTTCTTTGTGAAGAAAAAAAATTTAAGCAGGGTTGGGTAGCTGGGAGCTCAGCTAGGAGAATGCTTGATTAGAATGCACAAAGTCAACCAAGCAGTGGTGACATACGCCTTTAGTCCCAGCAGAGGAAGGCAGAGGAAAGAGAATCTCAATGAGTTAGAGGCCAGCCTGGTTTACAAAGAGAGTTCCAGGACAGCCAGGACTGTTACACAGAGAAACCCTGTCTCAAGATACAAAAAAAAAAAATAGGGAAAAGAAAAGAAAAGAAAGAATGCACAAAGTCCAGCACTGCATAAACTACATAGGCTGGCACACCTGTAATGCTGACACACCTGTAATGCTATGCTAGCACCTGGGAAGTGGAGGAAGGGGAATCAGAAATTCATGTTATCCTTGGCAACATTTAATGTCAGCTTGGCTACATGAAACACTTCCTCAAAAATAAAAACAAAAGAAAATTATTTTAATGAAAAAAAAACTGAATTCAATGATACCAAGCCATTCAGGTTATTTCATGTCGAGTGAAGCCTGGCACTTTACAGCTTTCCCAGAATTTATTCATTTCACCTAGCTTTCAAAAGTTTAGTGAACTGAAAGTATTTTAAATAGAACCCACAATGGGGGAAGATCTAGACAGGCAAACATAAAGAGTATCTATGAATCACATTTTAATTTTTATGTTATTAGGTATAAAAAGGGCCTGTGCATTCAGCTAGTAAAGGCCCTTGCTGTGCAAGCCTGGAGATCTGAGTTTGGTACCTGAAACAGGCATAAAGATACAGGAGATAACTGGATCCACAAAGTTGTCCCCTAGGCAACCAGTCACACACACCCTCACACACACACATATCATGCACACAAACACATTAAATAAATGAGTTAAAGTATACTAAGATAGCCTTTAATATTCCAGTTTTAAATTTTCCTTACTGAAAGATTTTAATTAGTATAAAAATTAATGCTAAATATGTAAGTGTAAATTTTTGAATAAGAAAAATAAATTCTCACCATCTTCCTAACAATTCTCCCCAAGAATAGAGGATCTTCTCAGGACAGTCTTTTGACACATCGCCTGTTCCACTTGAGAGTTCATTATCACTCTCTACAGGGGAAGAAAAAACAATACACATTATATAAAATGTAAGTACTTCCAAATCATAAAAAATAAGACATGGCTATGTATTTACCAAAAGTAAATGGTACCCAGATAAAATTGTCAAATAATTTTATGAAAATTCTCATCTGCAGATAAGACTCTACAGACAGCTATATTAAATAGCTTTATCCAAAGACAATAGTTTAAAGCTAGTTGTGATATCAGCAGATGGCAGACTGAGAAGTCTTAGGTCTCATTCTTCCCTACAAATAATTCATCTACCATCTATCCACTTGTAAGAAAACTTGGGGAAAAGGCTTAAGATGCCCATTTAGTGAACAGAACTAAATAAAACCCAAATGACAAGGGTATGAGGGACAGTCTGACTCCAATAGCATCTCCCTTCTCCCTTCTCCCTTCTCCCTTCTCCCTTCTCCCTTCTTCACATGGGCACACACGGCTGGAGAGGGCTTCCCAGTGCCCACAGTTTCTGCAGAGAAAAAGAAGGCAGCCTGTGGGCATCTTGTCAGTGAACTTGTAATGGTGGCCACACCTCCTTGGGCGTGGCCTCAGGCAGATAGGCACTTGAGGCATAGCTTTCCTTGGCAAGCTCTTTCTGGTGGGCTAGCGGATCCGGTAGGAAGGGCAGGGAAACGTTCACGCAGTTCTTTGTATTTTTTTGTGTATTGTTCCCCACTAAACACCCACTTATCATTTATCTTGGATTTAGTGATATCATTACATCCTCGCCTTCAGCAGTCATTCAGCTAGCTTCCTAAGCATCACAAGATGCTCACAGGCTCTCTGGATACAGTTTACTACAAGAATGTCATGACTTGGCCACCTGATACATACAGGGAAGTAAAAACACAATGCATGTATCATGATGGCACTCTTGTTCAGTCCATCTGTGACACTTTCATCATAGACAACAGCCAACACTGTGAACCATAAGTATGTTAGGTATAAATTAAAACAAAATAAATACCTTAAGAAGCTGGCAATTTTGTAACAAAATTTACACTTGGTAAAAGTTCTGAGAATAAAGTGACTGTAGAGTGCTTAGTCCTAAATGGAAGATCTATATCATATATACCCCAACCTTGGCTCAGGAAACATGGATAAAGAGAAGGGGGAAGAAAGAATATAAGAGCTGCAAGAGGTGAAAGAATGCTGAGAAAACTGTTTTCTTGATGTGATGAGGCCGTTGTACAAGTTACCTATAGATAGCCTGAATAAAATGAACCCATCAACATTTATTTCATCATGGATGGGAAAGGGCACATGAGATAGAGAAAGGAAACATATGGAGACAATTTATCTCAATTATAAAAGCAGATTTGGCATAGAATTAAGTAAGAAAAGCTAACAAAGCACTGTCCCAATAATACAAGATAGTTTAAAAATTTGTCTATCAGAGCACAAGTACCAAGGCTTATCAATACGGTTCCAAATTGATAAACAGCTCCCACACAAGGATCTATGTGAAGAACAGAACTTCTTAAGATACTACAAAAGGCAAAAGCAAGCATAAAATAATTGACTTCTGGGATATACAAAACAAACATTGATATAATTAATAAAGGTTTATTTGAGCAAGCTGAATGACTTGGTCAAAGCCATTCACAAATTCAGGAAAGTCAAAACACATGTACACACAGAAAAAATGCTTAACTATTTTAGAGTAATAACAGATAAGAATTGGGTGTTTTATTTAAAACCTGAGCATCACTCTAGGAAATGGAATGAAAACAAAAGTATGACCCACTCTGTAAATAGCTCACATAAGCAACTCGAAGTTAGTAACAACCTCATCACAACAAATAGAAATGAGAGGTTTTGTGCTAAAGCAAAAGCAAATGAAATTTCACTGGTATTAGAGGAACAGTGATTGCTAACACAAACCACTGAAGATTTGGTACTACAGTATCCTAAAGAACCAGGCCAGTAAAAAATCACCCCAAATAATCCTACATTCTCACAGCATGTAGGGACTTTTGAGAAAAGTGACTATTAAAAGTTACAGTGAAAAACAGATTAGACTTAGATTATCTCAGGTAAACAAATATAAGTTGACCTACTTAATAGATTTGTAAAATTCTAAGTACTCATAACCTGGTATTCAATTAAGCAGTATGGAAGACAGCACCATCTTATCTGATCCCTAATAAATAAGAGTATGTGAATGTTCCAAAGTATTTGATGATATTGTGCATGCTAAATTCAGACCCTAGGAAAGAGGGAAAAAACAGTCATCTTAGCCTTGAGTACAATAAAAGTCAAAAGTACTGTGATAAAAGAATCATTTGGAGTCTTATTAATCTTGGTGGTAGAGGAATGCCTAAGCATGAAACAAAACAAGATGCAATAAAGATAAGGAATATGTCTACCTATAAATGTAAAACTTCAATTAATTAATGCATAAAAGTTTCCAGCATATAACAAGGGGTTATTTTCCCCAACATACTACAATTCTATTAATAAATAAAGTTTAAACCACTAGAAATTAAGCCAAGACAAGAACATAGTACAGGTCTTACTACATAAAATATAAGCACACAATGAGGATTTAAAAAAAAAAACATGCTGTCATTTTAAATGCAAAATAATGCAAAAAATATTGACCAGTTAAATTGGTAGAGTACAAACAAAAGCATAGAGGAATAGAAAAAAAAAAGATAATGTAAATGGGAGGTAGCTTAGCAATAGAGGGTTTACCTAACAAGTGCAAAGCCCTATGTTCAATCTCCAGCATTATAAAAACCAGAGTGGGGGGAAAGGGAGAAGAGCAATAGAGAGAAGAAAAGGGAGAGGAAAGGAGGGGAAAGAATGGAAGAAAAGGAGAAAAGTGAGGAAGGGGGGAAAGGAGGGAAGGGGACTATGTTCCATCAACAGCATTCCTTTATGAGTGAATGTATATATTTATGGCTGCTCCAAATGATGAGGATAGTGAATGTTCATCACCAAACAGGACATCTACACCATCTCCTCTAAGACTCAGGATATTATAGAATAGGGACAGAAAAGAATGTAAAAGCAGGAAGACAGGAAGAAGGAATGGGAAATCCTAGCTTCTGGGTATGGTACAGCCATCACAACCATGATTCACAGCAGCTGCAATTGCCTGCACTGGGCTCACACACAAATGAGACTGTCCACAGCCAGGCATGGATGGAGGAGGAGCTAAGGGGCCCTACCCCTTCCAGCTGAACTACTGGCTATAGATGTATTCTGGGATAGAGAAGTCATTGCCTGTAGTTGTATATCAACTAGTGAACCCACCAGGATCCAATGAATACCATGCCAATGGGGACACAGAAGTCCAGGATAAACCTATTAGGTCACAAAGCAAAAGACATGGATGTGGGAAATGAATTTATAAAGAGATGTGCCACTAGAAATATAAATAAAATCTAGAAAAGCTGGTCATTGGTGGTACACATCTTTAATCCCAGCACTCAGGAGGCAAAGGTAGGCAGATCTCTGAATTAAAGGCAAGTCTGGCCAACAGAGAGAGCTCCAGGACAGCTAAGGTTACAGAGAAACCCTGTCTTGAAAAAGAAAAAAGATAGAGGAAAAGTGGAGGAAAGTAACCACAATGAATTATGTACTGGTATGAAACTGTCAAATATGAATTTAATTAATAAAAATGAAGTTAAAAGCATGTATTTATTAAGGTTCTAAATCCATATATTTTATTTGATCCAGGAACTCCACTTCCAGAATCTTACCTTCCAGAAACACACACACACACACACACACACACACACACACACACACACACACACACACCAGAAAGATCCTTTTTACTGTGACAATAATAAACAAGAAATTGAAAAATAATGACAATCTATTAACACAAGTCTTATTAGCAAAACTATAGTATATCTGTTCAAAGTAATCATATAGGCAGCGTAAAAGAATCTACACAGGTCAAGTCTGCTAATCCAAACATCTGAAATCCAAATGCTTCAAGATTATGACAGTCAGAGGTTCCCATTTGAAAGCATTTCAGATTCTGGATTTCTAGACTTGGGATGGATAAACAATAAAGTCTAGACAAATACACACCGCTCAAGATCCTAACAACACCACACAATCTTAAACACTTCAGGTTGAAGCATCACACAAGGAACATTTTATCTGTATGTAGCAAAATGAAAGCCATCTAAAATATGATAGTTTGTGATAAGAAACAAGTTTGCACTAGGCAAGATTTGATGGCTAACATCTTTTAAAATGGGTGAAAATACACATTTAATAGTAACTATGTATTGGTATTTGTCTTTCCACACAGTAAGCACTAAGTAAATATTTATAGAATCTAGTTTTCATTTTTTAATGCTATGCTTTTGGTATATTCTAATACTTTAAAAGCATGGATAATGATAAGACAGGGGTATTTTTATCTTTTGAATAGTCTTTATTGCCATATGTATTAAGAATATATTATTATAAACTCTTACTAATGAGTCATAAAATTATCACTGATAAGAGCAACATATTTTCTTTCTGGCAATATCCCATTATTTTCCATCATAAAGACGAAGTCAGAACCTTAACAACCTAGACAGGCAGAAGAAAAAAACACAAAGAAATGAGAAGAAATAAACATAATTTTAAATAAAACCTGATTCCTGAGAAACAACTACAGAATAAGTGGCAGTAAATTAGATGTTAAATATTTGAAAGAAAAAAAAAAGAATTTAATCAAAGAAGACATAGGTCATAGTTTGATGCTCTGTTGCTGTGATAAATATGATGACCAAATGCAAGTTAAGGAGAAAAGGACTTACTTCATCTTATACTTCCAGGCAGAAAACTAAATGTAGAAATCTGGAAGTAGGAACTGAAGCAGAGACCATGCAGAAACACTGCTTACAAGCTCACTCCCAGGCTTACATTTACTGACCTCTCTTTCTCTCTGTTTTTGGTTTTTTGTTGGATTTTTTTTTTTTTTTTTAGATTTTGATACAGTCCTTTATTTGGGAGATTCTTAGAATACA